CCTATCCCTGGGTCACCACCACTTGATAAGAGGGGGAGTAGGAGCTTGTTTAATGGTTAGCATGACAATGGCTAAGAAAACTTGATAGAGAAAATAGGTCTCTCACCCTCCTGCCTGGACACCACGCCCACCCCACACCCTCATTACATTCAGTCTTTGCTCAAGTCTCACCTTCCCAGGGGTGACTGAATCACTCCACCTAAAATCATACCCCATCACTTTCTATCATTTTATCCTCTTTACGCTTTTATCCTGTAGCGCTTTCTGTTTTGCTGCCCCACTGCAATACAAACACTTTCAGGATTCAACTTGGTCTTGATCCCAGCTGAAGTCCTGGCACTTAGAAATGGCCAATACACTGCAGGCTCTCAATAAACATTTTCAGAAAAAAAAAAAAGACCAAATAATTGAGAGCTTCCAATCCCCAACCGTTGGAAATTGTGTTTGGCTTCATGCTGTTGTTTATCTGTATCATATTGTGACCAGTGATAGATAATTGTTTGTGTGAGAGAAAATTGGGATTACCACTTGCAAGGTAGCATTACCTCGTATAAAACCTAAACAAAAGGTTGTGCTACTGGAAAAGTATAGATATTGCTAAAAGCAAGTTGTTTTGATCCAGATCTTTCTTGGTTGTTTTTGAGATAGGCAGTGAAATGTCACTGCCAATGGGAACTCCACCTCTGTTTTAGAATGATCACTGGTGGTCGAAACTGCAGCATATTAACCAGTTAAAGCTTGGAATTTCTTTAGAGTCTCCTCATTCCATTCAACAAAAATGGATGTAATTAGCTAGAGGTCACTCAAGGGAGAAGCTAGAGCTCACCAGGCACATTCAGTCCAATCTAAGCCGATCTGTTTAATATTTGCTGATTTTAAGCCTTGTGCCCAGCATTGGGCTGGGCAGAAGGGACAGAGTGAAAACTGCCCTTGCCTGCCTGTTGGTTAGATTAGTGTTTCATGGGAACCCCGAGTGGTACAGAAGCAACTATAACAATGCATTAAGAGTTACTCCAGTGAAGATGCAGGCATAGGAAAACAGGGCTCACCTCCTCACACAACTACAGCAAAAATTACAACTTAATTACAAAACAACTATCATCCAGAATCATCAGAAAATCAAGTTGTATGGAAGTCTGACAACCAAGGAATTAAAGAAGTCACATTCATCCAGCTGGGTAGGAGGGGAGGAGATGCAGAGACTCAGAATGGGTAGTCCTACACCCACATGTGGCGGATAAAAATCAGGAGGCATACCTCAGGAACAAAGGATCCTAGCTCCATACTAGACCACCCAACCTAGGGTTCCAGTGCCAGGAAGATAAGTCCCCATAACTTCTGGCTATAAAAACCAATGGCAGTTGGGGCAGCAGAAGAAACTGTGAGATTTCCAGGTGTCTCCTCTTAAAGAACCCACAGTGGACTTAGGGCTTATACAGACTCATTTCCTCTGGGCTCCAGCACTGGGGCAGCAGCTGGAAGGGCACCAGGAGCATATAGGGAGAAATTGAAGTTTCTGGCATCAGGGTAAGTGCCAGGGACAGCTTCCTCCAAGACAGAACTCTAGTGGCCAGGTAATGACCACTGTTCCTTTTCTGAGCTGTCCCCACACAGAGCCACAGAGTGGCGACACCATATCTGAGATTCGATCAACCTGGTTCACACAAGTTGCCATGCCCTGGACATTACCTAAGGCTCTGTCCTCTCCAGTTTATGGATGCCCTTTTCTATAATCAGACATGCTACTAAATCAGGGAGTCAAAGAAGCTCTACCTAATACATAGAAACAAACACAGGGAGACTGCCAAAATGAAGGAACAAAGAAATATGACTCAAATGAAAGAACAGAACAAAACTCCAGAAAAAGAACTAAACAAAATGGAGCATTTTGTCTATCAGAAGCAGCATTCAAAACACAGGTCATTAGGATGCTCAAGGAACTCATTGGGTACTTCAACAGCACAAAAAAGGCCCAGGTCACACTAAGTGAAATAAAGAAAAATTTATAGGGAACCAATAGTGGAGTGGATGAAGCTGAGAATCAAATCAATACTTTGGAACATAAAGGAGAAAAGGAAAAACATTCAATCAGAACAGCCAGAAGGAAAGAGAGTCCAAAAAAAAAAAAAGGTAGGCTAAGGATCCTCTGGGACAACTTCAAATGTACCAACGTTCACATCATAGGGGGTGCTGGAAAGAGAAGAGAAAGAGCAAGAGATTGAGAACTCGTTTGAAAAAATAATAAAAGAAAACTTCCTTAATTTGGTGAACGAAATAGACACACAAGTCCAAGAAGCACAGAGAGTCCCAAACAAGATGGACCCAAAGGGGACCACACTGAGATACATCATAATTAAAATGCCAAAGGTTAAAGAATCTTAAAAGCAGCCAGAGAAAAGAAGAGAGTTACCCACAAAGGAGTTCCCATAAGACTGTCAGCTGATTTCTCAAAAGAAACTTTGTAGGCTAGAAGGGTCTTGCAAGAAGTATTCAAAGTGATGAAAAGCAAGGACCTATAACCAAGATTACTCTATCCAGCAAAGCTGTCATTTAGAATGGAAGGGCAGATAAAGTACTTCCCAGACAGGGTGAGCTAAAGGAGTTGATCATCACCAAGCCATTATTGTATGAGATGTTAAAGGGATTTACTTAAAGAAAAGCAGATAAAAACTATGAACATTCAAATGGCAATAATTTACAACTGCCAACAACCTAAGCAAACAAGCAGGTTGGAAACAGAATCATAGCTATGGAGATCATTTGGAGGGTTATCAGTTGGGAGGGGGAATGGGGAGAATGCAGGAAAAGGTGCAGGGATTAAGAGGTACAAATTGGTAGGTACACAGTAGACATGGGGGGTGTACAGTACAGTATAGGAAATGGAAAAACCAAAGAATTTATATGCAAGACCCATGAACATGGACTAAGGAGGGATTGCTGGAAGGAATGGTTGGTTGGTACCAGGTAGAGAGGGGAAAGGGAGAAAACTTGGGACAACTGTAATAGCATAATCAATAAAACATTTTTTAATAAGAGTTACTCCAGGAAATGCACAAGGTTGTAGAAGCATGTACCACAGATTTTTCAAACAAGCAAAGAATCAAAGGGCTTCCCTGGTGACAGCTAAGCTTGGACTCGAAGTGTAAGTGGAGAGTGTCCAAATGAAGAAGGAAGATGAATGGAGTGTTTTCTAGGCCAAAGAAAAGATATGGAAAAATAAGAGGAATGCAGATGGGGCATTGCTCTTTTATTCTAGATAGCAAGTAGTTCTGTTTTCACTCACCACTGTTCTTCCTTTCTTTCTATTGCCAGTTTTCAGCCTGTGGATTAGCCCCTTTACCCCAATCATCATTGCTCTGGTGAGGTTTATTTGCAAATTCAATCCAGGAACCAATAAACAAAGAAAATGGCTGAGGAGTAGCCACTGGAGCCTGGAACCAAGCCCACATTTCACTTACAAAAATTTGATTTTCTGCAAAAAAAATATTTTGACTCTTACATTTTTGGACTTCATTAGAAAGATCTGAAATGGATGACACCAAGCTGTTTGCCTAAAATAATGTCCCAAGTCTGAATTGGCATGGATATTTCCTGAGATTAAAATAGAAACTTGTTTGGCTAACAGAAAACAACTTGGAAATCAAAGAGTCATTTAAGTTGAAACCTTTATTTTCTCCTCTCTCAAAGAAAATTCCTGTTTTTATACACGCTAAGACATCAGGATAGTGAGGTCACTCTGCCACAGAACTTTCCATTAAAATTTTGATGTTGAGAAGCCTCAAAAAGAAAGTAAAGATGGGGAGAAAAGTTTGCAATGCAACAAATCCATGCAATAAATGTTTGTGAGTACTTACTACTCACCAGGCACTATTTTATGCACTAATCAAAGAAACTTGTCCTTGTAGAGTTTGCATTGTAGCAGAAATAAAACCTACAAAGAAGAAATAAGCAAATTATATAGGAAACTATTGGATTAGCGGTATGAGAAAAGAAACAAAGTAGAACAGGCAGGAGGGAGCAGGAGAGGGCGGCCACAATTTTAAATAGGGTGCTCAAGGTTGGTCTCCTCAGAGAGGTGACGTTTGAGCAAAGACAGAATGAAGTGACAACGTGAGCAGGGCAGACATCTGAGTCCAGGCAAAAGTAACAGGTCAGTGGCACTAAGGCAGGGGCATGACTGGAATGTTCTAGAAAGGCAAGGAAGCCAAGGATTAGGAGAAGAGAGATAGGGTCTGAGAGGTTTGGGAGAAGGCAGATCACTGCCCTGGGGAGTCTTTCAGGGGTAGGGTTTGGGAAGAGGGCTGACTCGATTGGACTTATGTTTTAAATGTGCATTTTAGGATACTGGTTGCGTGTTTTCATTCGAGCGCAGTTCTCTAGTACAATATGTTTTACTCTGCCACAACAGAGCAATGGTTGATTAAGATGGTTTCTAAAACATCTCTGGAGGATCAGGCACCACAAGACTGCTAAGTAGTAACAGCCTTTCCTCTCTGGCGGGCACGTGCGCGTGGAGAGGCACCCGTCGCTATCCTAATGTGAGGGTAGCTGAGCTGGCAGAGATGGAAAGTCTGCACGTTTCTTCTTTAAAACTCGACTGGAGAGCCAAACGTTTCTTTCGGTTGGTTACCAAATAAAAAATATGCTTTTGCCAACTCTGTGTGAGAAGCAAACTCCTGGAGTTTCCTTTGGCTAATTTGCCCAAGTCTTGCTGTGGTTTCGCTAAATGCAGATGATGCTCCGTTCCAGCGCCATAAACCTCTCTGGTCTTGGACTTCTCGACTGTCGGGTGAAAGCTGTGGCTCTTCCCCGTGTTCATCACCTGTTGGGGCGGAACCCGCAGAGCGCGCTCCTACGCCCCAGTCCATTTTCTTTTCTTTCTTTTTGGTCTCAGGCTCACCCTTTCTTGCTGAGCACCCTGCTTCACTCGTCCAGGCCCGGCGCACAACGTTCCTCCCAGCCTGGCGCTTGCCCAGCTTGGCTGGCCCCCAAGAGACTCTGCCTTTCCGAGCACCCCCGCCCGCGAGCTCCCCGCAGCCGGGCCAGGCGCCCTCACCCCTCGCCCAGGGCCGGGAGGGCTGCGAGTGGAGCGCACGCGCACCCCCGCCCCTCCCCTCAGGCGGCGGTTCCCCCTGCAGCGCCTCCCTCGCGGGGAGGGAGCCGGAGGGGCTCCAGGCGCTGTGCAGCAGACCTGATCGGGCTGCGCGCCGCTCCGCTCTCCTCCGAGGGTGGCAGCAGCAGCAGCCTGGGCTGCCGCAGCTCCTCGGGGGAAGCAAGAAGGCGAGCGCGCCTTCACCCGCGCCGAGTACCCCAACCTGGTCCCCACGTGTAGCCGCGCCGCCGCCAGGCCTGGCCACCCGACATGGATCTCCTCCTGGCGCTGGTGCTCGGGTTCTCTCTCTCCCTGCCCGCGGCCGCCGAATTCGACGGGAGGTGAGTTGGCCCCAGCGCGACCAGCCTTCCGCCTTCTTTCCCACGTTCATCACCTGGAGTCCTGAGGTCCCCTCCGCCGGCGTGGCGGCGCGGTCCTGGAAGCCCGGCCACCGCATTGCCTCGGCGGGAGGAGGGTCGTCGAGCCGCTCTCTCCCCCCGGGGGGACCCCGCCGGGGCTCCCGGCCGGGGGACTCGGGCTAGGGGCGAAGGGAATATTGAGACCAGCATCTCGCCTCTGAGGTGACGCGCAAGGACATCCCTTGGCCGGGAAACTCCGGCTCCTGATTTAGACGGCTCCTCAGTGGGGAAACCTCCCAAGGGGCAGGGTCGCATCCGGGCTTGGAGCTCTCGGGGCCGCTCACACCGAGGGTGGCGGTGAGGGAGCCACTGGGCTCCAGGGGAGACCTGTTTGCCTTTCCACTTGATTTTCCAGAAAGACTCAAAATAAGGACTGAGTTGTGTAAGTGCGCGCGCGCACACACACACTCACAGCCACCCCCGGGACCTCGGGCGAGCCCGACTACGGCGTGCTGTGACAGGTTCCAACCACCAGACTCCGTCTCCGCTGTCTCCGGGCCCTTCCTACCGCCGCGCCGCCGGGTGCGCTGGGCGAGTGTGTGTGACTGTGTGTGTGTGTGTGTACACCAGACTCGCAGCTCAGCAGGAGGCACCAGGAGGGATCCTCACCTGGGTCACACCGCTACCCAGCTGCTCTCTTCCAGCGGCCAACACTCACCGATTACCTCCCTGCGGGGCGCTAAAGACTGCCGCACCTGTTTTACCGGCAGTCTTGGAACGAATCAATTCCACGATTGATTGATTATCTTTCTTGTACCTGGAGGGTAAAGGAAGGGAACCAGTGGAGCGCAACGTCTTGCTTACCACCTGGTCGGAGGAAATAGAAAGTTCTGGGTTATTTTGTTCTTTGGGCTCGCGGGCATGGGAGAGGGGAGATAAAAGAAAATAAAAGGTTAGTGGAGACCGGGTGTAGCGGCCAAAAGCTGTATTACTTTTTGAAGCAGTTATTTCCCACATTCGAGTATGTTGTGCATTTCTTGCACACGCAAGAAGTGCATCATGTGATTAAGTGTAAACTTTGAATGTAGCTTTAAAAAGAGGTCTAAAACAGCCAGTGAAAATATTGATCCTCTGTGGAGGGGTCATTTAGGTGTCTAAACAAGTAAGCAATTCACCAAATAAGGTACCAAAGTGCAATCTGGTGGATGAATCAGAACCCTGAAATCGAATACTTTCTTTAGTCCTTATTTACATTACAGAGGAAGATAACATGAATTGTTGATCCAGAAAAGTTCAAACCACAAGAACACTTGAGATGTTAGCTATGCTTTAGACTCCCTTGGTTTTACTTAGACTTCTTTTTCTAGTACACTTTTTTTTTTTTCTGGGAACTTTTTCTGCCAAAGAGTCGTATCTCAAAAAGAGTTCTGTTTCATTTGATTTTGAGGAAACTCCCCCCTTCCCACCCCTTCCCACATTTACCTTTTATGTAAGGCAGAGTTTTTTTTTCTTTCTACTTTGACATGTCTTAATACTTTTCAGTTTATGATGAATCAGTCAAAAACTGTCCCCACCCCGCCAGTAGGTGTGGGTCTTTGAGGAATCTGTTTTATCTCAGGCTTCAGAAACCACCCTGTGAGTGGCAGCCTTGAGAATCTTGGTTTGAGCTGGTGTTCTTTCCATTTAAGAAAGGATCATCCCTCTTTTTTTGCCCTGCTCCGGTGTGTTGTGTGTGTGTTTAATTGTCTGAAACTTGAAATTAGATCATAGCAGAACTATTTCCCTGAAGGTGTTTTATCCTTAAATTTGTGCAGGCATGAAAGAGTTCATAGAAAATTGGATGTGATTTATTTTTTTCTAAAATAATAACAGAGGACGTTACTTTTACTTTCAAACATGTTTTTATTTATTTTGCATCTTTTTGTTTGATAGGTGGCCCAGGCAAATAGTGTCATCAGTTGGCCTGTGTCGTTATGGTGGGAGGATTGACTGCTGCTGGGGCTGGGCCCGCCGGTCCTGGGGACAGTGTCAGCGTGAGTATCATCACCCTGGGGACTGCAGCTCCCCGGGAGGTGGGGCTCTCCACCCTCATACGGGGCTTCACTCTGCACACGGGAGGGCTCATTACAAGCATGGCTTGATGGTGTGGCTCTGACATGGGAGTTTTCAGGCACAGTCCCCAGCTCCTTATTCTGCCTCTTTCCAAAGTGAACCACCTGTATGCAGTAAGGAGCCAGTTTTGTTACTCACAGGATGCTCATTTCCGCATTCATCCCCAGTATCTCCAGCTTCTGTTTTCTCATCACTCTCACTCTTTTCTTTGCTCCAGGCTCTGAGATGGGGGTAAGATAATGAGTCTAGACTGTATTTACACTAAGTAAGCTCTGAACCTTATAGCACTTACAAAATCCTTACCATAGCTGTTGTGTAAAGAGGCCTATTTGTAAATCTTTTTTTTTCCAAAGTGCGGTTGTATTGACTGTGTTCTAAAGGGACCACCCAGTATAATCAAACAACACCTCTGAAAAATACATGTTTTAAGTTCTATAATTAATTATATAATAAGTGTCAAAAAATCAGAACACTGATTTTTTTTACCTTTTCCATGATCACAAATGAATACCTTTTATGGTGAAAATCAAAGCTACATCAGAGAAGTTTGAGAAATTTGTTTCCAGAATTTTATCTGGATTTCAATTTTACCTTACTCCTCCTACCAAATGAACAAAAACAAAAACACTCCCCCGGAAAATAACTAAGTAAATTTCAGGAGCGTCTTTACAGTACTAGGTTGGCAAGTCTGTTGAAGTGATGGGAATGAAAGTGGGTTCCTGGCGTTTTACTACTAGTAAGAAAGGGGCTTAGAGGAATAGAGAAGTGTAGTTAACAAAGCTGCAGCTGGAAGGGGAGGAGCCTGCCTTAGAGATGTGTTGGTAGTGAGAGGAATAGAGTACTTATTAAGTTCCAAAGAGTTAGGAGTTCCTTCAGCTATTTCATTCTCTGAGAATTGCATGTGATATCTATTCTGAACTTCCTAAAGGAAGGAGAAGGACAGAGGGACAGTTACAGGTTGACTTTGTAATTCCAGGTCCAGGCTGATATCTGTGGTTAGGGATGGAATGGTAAAGGGGACTACTGTTGAGCTACCTGCTACCTGCAAGCCTTTGTGCCAGATATTTTGCACAGCTGGGCCACTGCATTCTATTGTAAAGGGAGATGGTGGCAACTCCAGTTTCTAGTAAACAAGAGAACTAGGCAAAGCTCCCCTGTACTCCCTCCCCATCACCTCCCCCTGCCACCCACCACTACCACCCAGTGGACACACACACATATACACACACACTACTTAATTGATTCAACACTTGTTAAGGGAATATGGTCAAAAGGGAGAATGGTACCTGGTGGGATATAGTCTTCTGCCAATTTTTTCTCAGAAGTATTTGCACAACTGGAGGCCACAGGTGTGGAATTTGAAATGCAATCAGGCTTTGAAAATCAAAGGGGAAAGAGAGGACCCCTTTCTTGGCCCAACATGATCATCTTTCCCAAATGAAAAATGAGTAGTTTCTTTGCAGGAATGGAGATAGTTCCCTCCTTCTTTACTGCCTTTTCGGGACACTCCCTAAGGGGATGTTGAAGTGCTTTGGGGTGGGTCCAGTCCCCCAGCCTCTGCCCAGACAAGGCTGCCCTGGCAGAAAGCCCTGAGCACAGTGGTGTGCACCTTCCCTGAAGGCAGAACGCCAGAGCAGTGGGCAGAGGCAGAGCAGTACGTAGCTCTCTGCCAGATGTGCTAAGAATTCCACGGAGAAAACTCTATCTGTTAGAGATATTCCCCAGAAAGAACCTTGAGGAGCTGTTCTATGTCTCTTTGCCGTGTCGTTAAATTTTCTCTAATATACACCAGCTTGGGGATTCTGAATGTAAAGGCCTTTCAAAGTTTCAGCGGCATGACAGAATTTAAACCTGCTAAGAATCACTTTTTGCATAGTAGCTTTCCCAACAAATACAGGGTGCTATTTTATTATTTTCCGTATCTTTATTTTGTTTCCAAAAGATTTAAAGTGATCAAAAATAGTATTTGATAGTATTTGCCTTTTCCTTCTTGTTATTTCTTAAGAATCTGAGAAAGCTGCAACATGGCATGAGTTAATTATTGAAATGGTAATGTTATAAAAATGTTAGATGATCTGCACAAATCACAATTTCTCTTTGTTTAGATTTGGTGACAGTTTGTGGGGCAGAATATTGGAGGGGAATAGGGACCCTGGAGCATGACTGTCTGGGTTCAAATTAGTTCTGTCACTTACAAACTCTGTGACCTTGACCAAGTCATTCATTCTCTCTGCGCTTTATTTTCCTCATTTCTAAACTGGATCTGAAATAGTGTGCTACCTTGTAGGTATAACCATAACAATGCTTAAACAATTATCTCTAAAGCATTTAAAATTACTCCTGGCACACAGCAAATACTACATACGTGTTTGGTGAAATTAAGAAAATGCAAAGGAATACTGCTATTGAAACAGTGCTGTGGGGTGGGATGTGCCCGTGCTCGCAGATTCTTTGTTGCCTAGGCATGATATATGTATTTTGCATTTATACTGCCAAAATAAAAAATGGTCCCAAGCTTCTCTGTTGCAATAAAATAAAATGCCTTTAAATTACAAAGGGCCAGATGGATCTTTACCATTAATAATGTAGATGGCAAAGTTGTAAAATCGAGTTCAAAGATGGATGTTTCCTTGTGTGTGTTTTATTTTTCCAGAATCTCAGATGGTCCAAATGTGTCTTATCAGAGAACCCACCATCTTTGTTTTGCTATAAACAGGTAGAGGAATGCAGGGGTGAGAGGTCAGCTCAAAGTGGGAAGAACTGCCCTGATAGAGGATTTTTTAGGAACAAATGGAAAATTTCTGATTAGTTTTTTCAAAAACTAGTCTTGTTTTTTCAAAGCAAGTCTCTGTGAAATTAAAATATTTGTCACTGTATTTATTTAAGGAAAATACATTTGCTGTTTTTTAATAGTTACATCTGGTAATGGATTACTTATAAAAATTCCAAAGAGCTTCTGGGAAATTTTATGTGAAAAATGTTTTTGCCTTTCTGACCCTTAATTAGATAATCTCAGTGTTCTTTCTCCTAAGAAGCATTCTCCCTTTTTAATTTTTTCCATTTTATTTATTTATTAATTTATTCTTGTTTGTTCTATTACAGTTGTCCCAATTTTCCCCCTTTGCCCTCTTCCTACTAGCCCACCCCCCGCTCCCACAGTCAATGCCCACACCATCGCCCATGTCCACGGATCATTCATACATGTTCTTTGACTAATCCCTTCCCCTTCTTTCCACCATGTGCCCCCTACCCCTTTCCTCTGGCAGTTATCAGTCTGTTTCCTGTTTCCACATCTCTGGGTCTGTTTTGCTCATTGGTTTATTTTGTTCATTAGATTCTTCTTATAAGTGGGATCATATGGTATTTGTCTTTCACCAACTGGCTTATTTCACTTAACGTAATAGTCTCCAGTTCTATCCATGCTGTTGCAAAGATAGTAATTCCTCTTCTTTCTGATGCATAGAATTCCATTGTGTAAATGTACCAGTTTTTTAATCCATTAATCTACTGGTGGGCATTTTAGACTGTTTCCAGCACTTGCCTATTGTAAATTGTGCTGCTATGAACATTGAGGTGCATAGGTTCTTTTGAATTGGTGTTTCAGGACTCTTAGGGTATATTCCCAGCAATGGAATCACTGGGTCAAAAGGCAGTTCCATTTTTAATTTTTGGAGGAAATTCCATGTGGTTTTCCACAGTGGCTGCAGGAGTCTGCATCCCCACCAACAGTGCACTAGGGTTCCCCTTTCTCCACATCCTCACCAGCACTTGTTATTTGTTGATTTTATTGATGATGGGCATTCTGACACCTGTGAGGTGATATTTCATTGTGGTTTTAATTTGCATCTTTCTCATGGCTAGTGAGGTTGAGCATTTTTTCATTCTCACTTTCTTATCAAGGGTGCCCAGTTTCTTGTTTCTCTGAATGACTTGCTTTGGAATTTTCCTTCAAATCAGCACAGCAAAACAAAAGGAAGCTATTCCCACCTATACCCAGGACCTCCCAATGTATCCCTACAGTGTTGTCCAACCCGTAGCCTAGGATGGCTTTGTATGTTACCCAATACTAAATTGTAGATTTACTTAAAACCTCTTTTTTGGCTCATCAGGGTTTTTTTTTTTAGTGTTTGTGTATTTAATGTGTGGTCCAAGACAACTCATCTTCTTCCATGTGGCTGAGAGATAGCAAAAGGTTGGACTCCTCTACTTAGAATTTATGTGTGTATGCTGGGGAGGCTGTTCCCTTGATATACTGAATACTATTTATCAGGTCTTGTGCCCTAGTGCAGGGATCCTGTGGTCAGTGTTTATTCCATTTGGTTGAGCATATGTGAGATGTTTTGATTCAGTATTCATGGGCTTAAATATATGAAGTCTGCCCAGAAAAAGTCCAGCCATTGTTAATATAATGAGAATGGTTTGCACAACATCGATGTAACCTGGCAGCCAAGGAGAGTGGACTGGAATGTGCGTGCGTGAACAATGATGACCTCACTGTACTAGTCAGTGGGGGCAGTAGATGCCTTTGGGTGAGCATGTGTACTGTGTGACTGTCACATTCAAAATGACTGAGCAAGTAGCAATGAATATGCATCAAATTTTGCATTAAGCTTGAACATTTTTCTGTGGAAACTTTGGATGATTAAGAAGGCTGCAGCTATGGGCAACTGGTGATTGGCAGCTTTGTCATGACAATGTGCCATTCATGCATCACATCTCGTGAAGAGTATTTTGGCAAAACATCAAATCACTCAGGTGACTCAGCATCCTGACAACTCAGATTTGGCACCCTGTGACTTTGACATTTCCCCAAAACTAAAATCACCTTTGAATGGGAAGAGATTTCAACCATTCATGAGATTCAAGAAAATATGATGGGCCAGCTGATGGTAATTGGAAGGACTGTGTGAGGTGCCACGGT